AAAATGTCACTTTCATATTCAGAAAATAGTGATACTGAAAAAAGTATTGATTGCCCATCTGAAAATCCCAAACTGGAATTGGATATGTCTGTCACAGAACATGATGGTTTAAGTTATATTGCAGGATAGATACAAAAAAGCATCATATTGAGTTACCTTAATCTTGAGGAATTAACGAATAAACTAAAAGAAGATCCAAATTGTGTTTTGTCATAGATAGAGTATCTATCTCATGGAGGACTAATTCAACCATCTGAAGAGTGGAGAACGCAAGTTCATAAAATGGGAAAAGAATTTTTAATTTTCAACATTTCCACTTTGAGAAAGGGAGAAAACACTATAAAGGACTTTATAAAAACTCTTAAACGGCAGTTTTCGAACACTGGTGAAAAATTACTTACATCCTTTGCTAGAATTCGAACTTTCATAAGATTAAGGAATTTAAATAAAAAATTAGTTAATCTAAAATATTCAAAATCTAAAAAAGGAATACTAAATTCAGTTGACAAAAATTGTGATATAACGAGGAAAAGACATAAAATTATTGTTCAACTGAATGAAAATTGAGCTATCTTTTGTTTTGTTATCTTAGATGAGCTATTTTTGGAGCCTAATCATTATAAGAAATACTTAAATATTCTTCAAGAAACACTTAACTGCTGAAAAAAAAATGGTATATCCAGCATATCCATCAAAAATTTTATTTTTTATTAAACAGAACTGATCCAATTACCTATCTAGACTAAAATTTTAGATGTGATTACCTGGTTATTTTTGGAAAGAAAATATATTTTGTTGTACTACGAGTTAGCTGACATATTTTTTTAATTTTAAACATTCATCTCATAATATTTGTATATATTTATTATATAGTCAACTCCAATTATCCAAACTCTGACTATCTGAATCACTGATTATCCGAATCATTTACAGAATTTAGAATTTTTCAGAATCAACTGAAGAAGAGAAGGAAAAGGAAAGAGACGCTCAAAGGAAAGGGAAGAAACAGGAGCAGAGGAGGATGATGTCTAATATTCTTTTGAAAATGCATGTATGTTCAGACGTTAGCTCTGAGGATACAGCAGAATGGATGGTGTGTGATTCGTCAGACCCTGGGTTTGAAATTCTAAATGATGAGCTTACTGAAAGAGTTAGAGGAGAAAGTTTCGAGGAAGATGACTTAAAGGTCGAAGTTGAAGCAAACACGGGACATTAACTACTGAAGCGTTTGCCGGCCTCAAAGCTGCGTTAAAGTGGATGGAATGTCAGCCTGAGTGTGACCACATGCAACTTCTTATTGTCAAGCGCGAGCACGAGTTGGCTGCCCGAAAATGGATAAGACATTCAAACAGCCAAGATGACCACGATGGTCAGCATGCAATGACTTCCAGCACTTGTGAGTACTGTACAGTACGCTTTATAACATGTACATATAAAAGTGTTGCCTTTTCATTTTAATTAATTAAAACCTCTTTTTCTTTTCCATTTTCACCATGCAGTACATATAGTAATTAATTAAAGTGTACATAGACCCTTTCTTCGGAAAAAATCCAATTATCCAAATGTTTTATTACCTGAATGGGGTTCGGTCTCAATTGTTTCGGATAATTGGAGTTCTACTGTATATATAAATGCATATATCTTCGTACGAAATATTATATATATATATAATGCATCTTCATAATGTAAATTAAATAAAAAAACATATTTTTGATTCTGAAATACCGAATTGTCACATAAAAAAACTGCAAATGCAAAAATCTATTTTGTTTCTTTCCAATAACATTTGCAAATTTCTTTAATGCAAGTTCAGTATTCAATATATATGATTAGCTTAGATTATGTTTAGAATTTAATAAATATAGCCACTAAATAAGTGCAATTTACAGAACATAATTTGGGTTTTGATTTTGAACTTAATTTACCCTTAGTTTAAATCATTCAAAGTTTATTTTATAAGATTTCTTTATATACTATCTTAAATATTATATGCTTAAGTATAAAAATATATCAAATGATATGTAAAATGCAAATTTATTTTCATGTTAGAGTAGTTTCATTTATGCATTCGATACCTTTATTTTTAAATATATATTTCAAAAGCTGTATGTATGCAAGTGTATGTATATTGATACAAAATCTTATTAGATATTTATACATGTTAAATTATGATTTAGTAAACATCTTTCCTCAAAATTTTAATGTAAACACCTAGGAAATAATATCAGTCAAATAAGCATGAAATTCATTTCAAGTGCCTACCACCTTAGTTTCCACCCCATAGTACAAAAGAAAAAGACAGAGGTCTTCCTGTGATGCCACGATGTGGTGACCCTCTTATGCACAATCTTATGAAAGAGTTTTCCTCTTATGCACGAAACCTTTTTAGATTTTACTAACTTTGATGAAGGGCCAGTAAAATAAAGCAAGAAAACTTTATATATATATATATATTGTTTCAAAAGAATAAATAGGTTTGAGTAATTCTCTTGCGCCATTTGCTGCACGGAATGAAATTTGAATTTTTTAACTATATATAACTAATATTAACTATATATAACTAATATAATTCTCTATTTGTAAAAGCAAATAAAAGTAATGGAATTGCAAAACAAATAAATGAATGATATTGTAGATTAGTTTGCAGCAATAATTAATCATTTATTTGTTTGCAATTAAATTTCATTAACTTTTGTTTGCTTTTTACAAACAGAGAATGTTTGTTAAATATATATATACTATTAAAATAACTCTCTCATTTACAAAATACATTCACTGCTTGCAAATTATGCAGCCAAAAGATACCTATTACTGACTTTTCCTATTACAGCAATGCTATTAACACAAGGTTGGACTTCTGTTAACAGCATTTCTTTGGGATTCACAATTCAGAAGCTCAGTTAAAATTCAGCGAGAGGTGCTTCGATTCTTCCTGTAGTATTGCACATAATTTATGAGTAATAACTAATCAAATATGTCTAGTGTGCAAACAATGCTCCAGCTTATATCAGAGGAGGTTCATTGAAGTTACAGTGGGATTTTGAGTCAACTAGTTAAACTCTTAAATCTACATTATCTTCAAACTACACTTAAGACCTTTCTTTGTTAACATATGTATTTGCATAGTGAAACAAAAAAGAACCTATTTCAAAATTATATACAATGTAAGAATTCTCAAAAAGTTTTGATAGTCATCAGATCTAGTTTAATACTGAGTGGTAAAGTACAAAACCAGGAGAAACAACAAAAATCATTACACCACTGCCTTCATATTTCAAAATCAAGATGATTAATTCTATTAAATGGCATTCACTGAACATCTGCCAGTTCAGAAGTATTCATCAAAATTTCAAATCAAATGCTAGAAGATACTCTGTATAATTCTATTTCCATTTATATGCAATCACTGTCTGCCTCACTGCAAATAAAATTGGGCACTGGTGAACAGAAGTCATTTGCTATTAATGCAAAGATGATCTGATCATTTCATCTGACAATATGCTTTAGAATTTGTTACTCATTATTCATTAGTTTCTGAAATTTACCAAGTAAATAGATTCAATGCTTCATGAAGTTGATACCTTACAATTCTGCTGCTCACAGAAGATCAAAGCCCATTCAGTTGCATAAAATCTTCGATTGAAACTGTATGAAAGGTATGAGCGTTGGCAAAAACTTAGTACGTGCACACCATTATTCTTAGGTGGTTATTAAATTGTCATTTCTGACTGCAGTGGTTTTGTGGGATGGAGCATTTAAAAAAACCTTCAACACAGAGCCTCTTTTCAAAGACTTGGAGTAGGAGAAGAAAACAAAATACTTGGGTGTTGTTGTTTTTTTCCATACCTTCATAGAAATGTGGATATAGTAGATACCCTAGTGTTTTTGTCTTAACTAAAAAAACATATTCCTCTCTGATCGAAAGACTGAACTTATTATTTGCAACTATCATCCCATTTAAGCAGATTCATCCCTCTTATTTACACATTATATTATATAGTATTAAAGTGAATATGAGTAAGTTTCTCTTAAAAATTTCTCCACAAAGACATCCCTCCTCTCTGACAAATAATTCCCATGTGCTTTGACTTGATTAAGTAAACAATAAATAATCCCCAGTGATGTCCGTGTCTTATAAATATATCCACAACAAAGTAGTAAGTACATTTGAAACTAATAAGTAATCTGTAATTTTTTGCTCTATATTAAAATGGTACTTACCAAAGTACGCACCCAAATTAGTAGATGTTGCCAAATTTTCAGAATGTGCCAAACTCTGGCAGCCATGCTCATAAGAAACATTCAGTCAAGCAACACTGCCATTTTTGTATGGATTCTTTTTTGTTGTAATCCAAGCTCCAATGATTTTTTTATAAACAAATCGTAATAGTTTTTGCCTTAAACTTAGTTTTACAATATGAGCTTCTTGAATTTGCCAGCAATGGAAGGAACTGTGGTAAAATTTCAGCAGGAATACAGGATTTTGTTGAAAATTGTCTAAATGGAACAAAAAGGAAATGCATTTCCTAGATAGCCACTGTTGCCAAGGTTTAGAGGAAGCCAAGTTCTAAGCCAATTCTATGATTTTTTTTTTTTTTTTTTAAGCGAAAATCAATCCCTGTGTACTTCGGAAAAAGAACAGCGTAAAAAATTACAGAGAGTGTGTTTTATTTTTTTATGTATCACATAATCCTTATTTAATAATTATAATTTGTATTTTAAATTGCTGAAATACGCTTTCTATCCACATGCTGATAATGTTTACTGACTTACAATAAACAGCCATAGGTTGGGAAGTTTTCAAAAAAAAAAAAAAAAAAAGGAGTTGCAAAAATCACTAACTTTCACCCAAAAATTTATATCTTTTCATCTGTAAAAAATTGCCATATTTACTGGGGTGGTTTCATTAATATGTAAATACTAACAAAAAGTTCTTCTAAAATATGTCTATATTATATTACATCAATACCAATCGAAAGTCTGTAGATCCTTTGACATACCTTGAAGTTTTGGTATTGTGCAACCAGGAGGTGCACTTACATGCCCAGCATGAGATACTCCCCAGATAGGAATTGTTCTTTGAAGTCCTTCATATAGTGCTTTTATAAATTCAATATAATATTCTAAAGCACCGGGATTTCCTAAAACAATCAAAAAAGATAATTAATAAAAAATAATCAGCATTATGCAACAATATTGCACTGTCATGATATATGATTAAATGTTAAGAAAGTTCTCAAATACATACAAGACGCATCTAAATAAGTTTTCGTAATGTTGTAAACATAAAACATAGTTATATGGAAACATTTATTGGAATCAATATAGCAATAGCTGAGCTACTTTTCAACATAATCACCAAGATACTTGTTATATGGTGGGATAATTTTTTTTTTTTTTTTTCGAATTCTGCTGCCAGGGGTTGAAACTGGTGCATTACAACTGTCTGGTATGTGCAGACTGCTATCTGCACCTCTTCACAACTTTAAGAATGCTTACCAGACAGGAATTTCTTGAGGTGTAAGAAATCATTGGAGCAAGATTAAGACTATAGGATGATCGATCAAATGCATCCCAGTAAAAAGACCAAAGTAGCAACCCATGTTTTACTAGCTGTGGTAATCCTATCCAAAAAGCCATCACGTTATCACTCGGGAAAAGTCAATGCTGATTCAGTGCATTTGTTCTTCAGTTGTCAGACTCTCAAGCACACACCTGAAATACTTTTGCTTTACGAGTTTCATCCCTATTTTTCAATATAAATTGAAAAACTCATTAAAAAATGCATTAAAAACTCGTTAAAAAAATGCATGTCATCATCGTAGATTTCCTGCAAGATCAACTTTTTATTTCGTTCGAATACGATTACAACTCAGTCGGATACGATGTGTTCCATATTAAAAAAAACATCACCTTCGATGTGACAGCGAAATCGTCTAAAGAAAGCTGCTTCGTTTTAGCTTCGCTCTGATTGGTCGATGATTATCACAAACTCGGCGTAAAGTTGAAAACTTGGAACCTATGCCACAAGCCCTTAACCTGGACCTATAAGAAACAAACAGACTAACCCAGTGGGCGGGGCGCGCGTCACCGACATGTCGGCAAGAAAGGTAGGGACGATCTGGTTTACGTTAACGCTGAAAACTACGGCGTTTATATCATTATAACTCTTTTTAATTATTAAATGTGAACGTTGTATAGTCAAGAGATATGAATACCACAGTTTTCCAAATAGGATTTTATATATCTTTTTAAAGCAATTTTTACTGCATTTCGCGCATTTTTTCATGCATAACTCTGTACAAACATCTTTACTTTGGTAAAAATGGTGAAAACACTAGGCACAAATTATGACTAATTTGCGTACAAATAACGTAAAATTAAATAAGATTGAAATACGTGATGCTTTGAAACAAAAGGTAAAATTAAACAAGATTTGATATTTTTTTAATTTAATGACATTTTCAGGTAGTGATTTTCAAACTATAATAACATTACAAAACAATAATTTATTTGATTGTATATCATTAACTTATTAACATTAAAGTGGAATATTTATTTTAGGAAATTCGGAGCATAAATTTCTGAGTGTAATGAAGGGGAAGGAAGGTAAAATAAATCTACAAGCACTCGGCATTTTATATTACCCAAAAGGAACCTTTTTTTAACATTTTGTGTGTTACCTATATTTGAATATATGTTCTTCGCCCGGAAACCACATACTTTGAAAAAGCATATCTTTAGAATTTCCGCAGAGATAAAAATGTTATTTTTGTACAGTGTTGCTTGAATTCGTTGAGTTTGTTAACAAAATTCGTTAAAGTTTTACAAAAAATATGAAATAGATAAAACAATTCAAACGGCGCCCAGATGCCATGTTCGGGTGGATGATTACAATATTCAAAATTTGATGGCTCTAGATACTGTCGTTTTGTCACAGTGCGAGAAAAACATACATGTATTCATGCAGATTCCGATTTAATTTCCTTACATATAATGGCAGGGCGGATAATATTTGGTAACAACAATTTGCAAGGAGATACGGACATTTATAGTTAAAACAGCGCAAAATGCCACTTCGAAATTAACAGCCTTTCTAGGCTACCGCCCCTTGGGCTAATAACTAAATTAACAGTAAATAAAAAAAAAAAAAAACCTTATGCAGAACTAAAAATAAATTTAAAAAAATAATCACTGTAAAATACAAGCAAAATTAATTATTACAGTTAAGTACAATTTTAATATTAGAATTAAAATATATAAACATTTTAAGGAGGCAAAAAGTGTTTATCACTATGATGTATTATCAAATATAATTGAAATAAAATTACTTAATAGAATTGTGCTATAATACTCATCTATAATTTAAAAAAGCAGCACAATTTAGAATTTTAAACAAAACTTTCAAAAATTCGTTTTTAAATATTTTTATATTTTTTACTTATTTACACCAATAAAAAGCATAAAAATTGCAAGAGAAAATTGCTTGTTTGAAATTTTCTATTAGTTCAAATTAAAAAATATTATTTTCTAAAAGCAGTAGTTACAAATTTCCTTACAAAAAGCACAGGAAAAGCTAAAAAAAATACAGTTCTGAAAGCATGCAATAGCTTTTATAATTATCTGGAATGTTAATTATGCTTGATAAATATAAAAGTTTTTTAAAATAAATCTCAATTTCAAAATAAAAAATGTAGAAATTCTAATTTGTGAAATGAGGCGCTATAATCAGCTTTTTCTTGAACAATATACACGCTGCAATAGGCAACCAATGTTAAATTTCTGCAAGTCATCCCTACTCCTCTGGATGTGATCAAGGTGTCAGCCGGCAACGCCTCAGACGAGGGACAAAACCCGTTTGGGTTAGTCTATTTCTTATAAGGTCCATGCCCTGAACCAGATTCTGTGACATAGCAGTGACTGGTTGCCTTGGCAATGGAGCTCGGCTTTAACCACTTATGCCCTTTACGCCCTCGTCTGAACGGGGCTTTAAAGAGAAAGGCATGCAAGTTGGCTGTCCCTCAAACAACAAGTCAGAAGAATCATCAGGTATAAGGATGTGATCAGGATTACATTTCCAGTAAGAAATGTTCCTCGGAAAAGGTCCTCACTTAATTTTGAATCAAAAGGGCCTCACAAGAGTTTTAAAAATACATTCACATTTGCTCATGCATATGATTTCGAAACTCACAGCACTGCTACTTCAGAAATAACAAAGGATATGCTGGAGCAAGTGTAGCAAGAATGTGATCGCCTTTTCATTGTTCAACAGACTGATAAATAACTTCTTTTGCACAGCAGTGATCAGAATAACTCAGAGTTTCATAAATTAGTCCTATTAAAATTTTGATGTTAATTATTAATTCAAATTTCCTATTAAAATTCTGATAGTACACACCATTAAATACATCTACCGAAAAGTGATAATGTTGGAGGTTTGTAGAATATCTATTTGATGTCTTTCCTACTAGTATTCTGATACATCACTGGTCAAATTCCAAAACTATATGACCTAAATTTCATTTCAGTAAAAATACTGGAATATTTTAAGGCATTTCTTTGAACTAGTTACACATGCTTAGGGTGCCATTTTTGGAAATCACAAATTAAGGTACACAGTTTAACAAATAAAAGAGAAACAACAAAAATCAGCGTTATACCTACAAAATTTTCACAGGACTAGTTTCGATGGTTTTACCGAACCATCATCTTCAGCTTGCAAAACCGCAAATGAACAAGATAGGAATAATGATTAGATAAGATAAGAAAGCCTGGAGTGGCGCCATCTGTTGGCGAAACCAGAACTAAAACATAATTCTCTAAAAGCCGAAGGCAATTTGGATTGGAATTAGGATCGTTAACTAGAACAGAAAGATTTTTTTGAATGTGAAATGCCTCTAGAAAATCCACTTCCCAATGGAAGATGTTTTTTTGAATAATTTTGGCAGCAGAAAAATTGAAAGTGTGATTTTCGGACCAACAATGTTGAGCAACAGAAGACTTCTGTGTTTCCTTTTTTCTAACATATGCCTCATGTTCTTTGACGCGAAAATTTTAAGGCTCTCTTAGTTTGGCCAATGTAAATTAAAACCACACTGGCAAGGAATCCTATAAATACCCAGGAATTCATATCCGGAATGGGGTCCTTGAGTATAGAAGTTGGAATTTTATTGATGGGAGAATAAACAACCCCCGAAAGTTAAATTTCTGCAAATATGTGCAACTTTATAGCTAATTGATGGAAAGAAGGGAATGACAACAGAATTTTCTGAATCATCTTGACTTTTACTTAATGTAAATGTAAAAAAATTGATCCCCAATTTTATTCAAATCAAATCTAATCAAAAACCTTCGAGTCGCGTTTCAAGAATTCTGTTAAATTGCAAGCTTGCCTTACTTCGGTCGTGATAAGGGATACCGTCAACAAATTGTCCAAAATTGAACATGAACTCTATAAAGCTTCATCTGGAACTCGCTAAATCATATCCAAAATTCACTGCCCTTGAACAAAAGTCTTGGTCTAGAACGGAGAATACAGTTAAACATTATAAAACACCCTTGCAGTTAAATTCGAAAAACTTCTTTTACAGTCTTCCAGTTAAAGTAGTTCAAAAAATCTTCCATTGTAAACATCAAGCCAATAGTTAATATTTCTAATGTTAGTCTTTCAGAAGAAACAAGAGAGAATTCTAAAATATAATTTAACTTCTCACAAACCTGTAAACCCTCGATTCCAAAGATTTTGGCTCCTATCGAAAAAGCTTTCAAGTTCAGTAAAGTTTCAGATTCACAGAAAGAAAGATTAGGCATCTTATCGCTCATAATGTGAAATTCAATAATAAACCTTCGAAACCAAATCTAACTGCGAGAGAAAAGCTACAATGCGCGAAATTCATTCTAACCCGGATATTATCATTTCAAAGGCCGACAAAGGTGGCCAGATAGTCGTCATGGATAAGAACACTTACATCGATGGTGTCACTAAACTCTTAAACGAAGGACCATATAATCCGATCCCTAAAGATCCTTCACCTTCGGACTTATCCCAAAATAAAAACTGCGATCAAATCTTCGCAAATCATTTCAAGCAACTTAAAAACATTCGCTTATCCCATCTGTTGCGAATTGTGCCAGATTATATGCTCTTCCCAAAATTCATAAAAGTGGTATTCCTTTCCGCCCTATTGTATCAAATTTAGGTACTGCCTCGTATCCTTTAGCTAAATATTTAGTTTCTAGATTTTCCACTCTATTAGACAATAACATTTACACCGTAAAAAATTCAATAGAGTTTGTAAAAAAGGTTTAAAAAACATTTCTCTCCTAGTAATTTACTCATGGTTTCTTTTGATGTAAAATCATTATTCACCAATGTCCCAGGTGGAGGGTGCATTAAGATGTCTAGAAACCAGACTTCGCGAATTTCATTTCTCTTGCATCGAAATTGAGGAGCTAATTTCTCTCACTCAACTCTGTTTGAAACAAAGACATTTTGTTTTCCAAAATAAATATTACAAGCAAACTGAGGGATTAGCCATGGGAAGCCCCCTCAGTCCCATCCTGGCTGATATCTACATGCTTTATTATGAATCAAAATTGTTTGAAACTTTAAAAACTTCCCGGCATGGTTCCGCTACGTAGACGATACTTTTACCCTGTTTGAAGGTAATAAAGATGATTTAAATAAAGTTCTTTCAACAATGAATTCTATTGATCCTGCTATTCTGTTCACTTTTGAACTTGAGACTTGCAATTCTCTTCCGTTTCTCGACATTCTGGTCACACGTAACACATCCAACTTCAGTACTACAGTTTACCGTAAGCCTTCATCGGTTTGCCTTCCACCACCTTTTAAATCATGTCATCCGACTAAACAAAAGTTAGCTTCATTTTATTCCTATGTTTTCCGTGCTCTTCAAGTTTGCTCCTCCAAACTAGCCCTTGATGAAGAACTAAATTATTTAAAAGCAATAGCTATTGACAGGGGCTTTCACCCAACATTATTAACCAAGCAGTTAAAAAAATTCTCATCTGAACACACTAAAAGCCACACTCTTATTTTAGGAGATTATAAAAATTCTGTTGTCATTCCCTTCTTTCCATCAATTAGCTATAAAGTTGCACATATTTTGCAGAAATTTAACTTTCGGGTTGTTTATTCTCCCATCAATAAAATTCCAACTTCTATACTCAAGGACCCCATTCCGGATATGAATTCCTGGGGTATTTATAGGATTCCTTGCCAGTGTGGTTTAATTTACATTGGCCAAACTAAGAGAGCCTTAAAATTTTCGCGTCAAAGAACATGAGGCATATGTTTGTTAGAAAAAAGGAAAACACAGAAATCTTCTGTTGCTCACATTGTTGGTCCGAAAAATCACACTTTCAATTTTTCTGCTGCCAAAATTATTCAAAAAAACATCTTCCATTGGAGAACTGGATTTTCTAGAGGCATTTCACATTCAAAAAAATCTTTCTGTTCTAGTTAACGATCCTAATTCCAATCCAAATTTGCCTTCGGCTTTAGAGAAATTATGTTTTAGTTTCTGGTTTCGCCAACAGATGGCGCCACTCCAGGCTTTCTTATCTTATCTAATCATTATTTCCTATCTTGTTCATTTGCGTTTTGCAGCTGAAGATGATGGTTCGGTAAAACCATCGAAACTAGTCCTCTGTGAAAATTTTGTAGGTATAACGCTGATTTTTGTTGTTTGACTTCTGAATTAGTATTTATTCGGCGTGTTATTGTGTCTTAAATAAAAGAGAAATTGCATTATATAATTTGAAACCAAAATATAAAACAAAAATACATTTTAAATGTGAAGAGTGAAAACCCCATATTTATTCAAAATTAACCATTTTTGCATTATTTAAATATACTTTAAAAAATCTCAAAATTACATATTATTACTTAGAAACTTCAGCATCTATACTTGCAAATAAATTTCAAATAGGTGGTATGAGGAAAAAAACCTAGAGTTGATGCATCCAGGTTAGACTTAGAATAGATGACTTATCTACATTCAATTATATGTTATTTCTGTGCAAGATTCTATGCTGTGTACTTTTAATTTAAAGTTGCAGAATCTTAAGAATGGTAAAAGAATAATCGCTTGAGTTCGTGAGATAGTAAATAAAAGAAGAGAAGGATTAAAGACCCTTTATTATTCCAAATTAATTCCACAGAACTCCTCCTTCGAGTTTTACATTAAAGCCTCCACTCGGGCTTGAACTCAAAAACTAAGAAATTAACTCTTTCACACTGCAGTCGCCCCCCAAACGCCCGACCATTCAGACAACGGCAGGTCACCCGACCCCCTGAATAATTTCCTACTTAGTGCTTTCCCCCCACCATGTTACTGCACTGCTCATTACTTTCAAGAGTTGTTAAATGACATGTCAATCATTCTTTTCAAGTGACTAAAAGTAGCTCTGTTATTTTAATGCACCTTCTTTTTCCTTTGTTTACTGTCAATGTTTAGCTATTGATGCCAGAAGTTGCCTCCCGTCCCAAGGGGGAATTTCACACAGGGTGAAAGCGTCCAAGAAAGAAAATGTCACTTTAGTTAACCTGTTCACGACGGGCACCTCTGTTACCGAAGCATTCTCTTGGAATGGGGCGTTAACCAGATATGTCGTCTTGTGACAGGCAATTTGCGCTGCTAAGCCTAACTTTGGAAAAAAAAATCGTATAAATTAAATTTGTCATCCAATTGTTCCAATTTTGGGTACATTATGAGAAGAACATTCAAGTAGTTGTCAGAATTAATTTAAACATTTATTGTTATATTTTCCTTAACAAATTTTATAAAATACTCATTCTAGAATAATATATTTTTTTCCTTATTCACAATTAAAATATATATGGAAAAATATCCAAACAATCGCAGATTTTATTTGACCAACAACATAATTAAAATTAAAAAATATTAAAACTGTCTTTCATAAAAAATTCATGTGAAAACAACGAAAAGGAAGCAATATTTCAAAAAAGAGACAGTGCATTATATTCTTTGAAACATGGGTGTACACAAAGTCAAAAGTTGCAAATTTCACTGGAACAGAATATCAGCAAATTTGACTCATTTAGCATTTGTGTATCTTCTACGGTCAGATAGCGCTTCGTTTTGCCATTAAAAAAATAGAACACCAGCAATAGAACATTTAAAAAAAAAAAAAATAAGCCATACAAAATATTCAACTCAATGCCGGAAAAATCTAACAGTAATAAAAGAGTCTCTAGTGATAGAACATCTACTCCACTATACGGGGATAAAAAAATAAAATAAATTAATTAAAATTTTTAATTAAATTCCAGAGTATCAGAACATGTTCATCTGTTTATATGAAATGACACAGTAAGAGCCATCACGTTACTCAACACCTACGAATTAGCATTTTTGTATATTCTTCTACCTTCAGATAGCAAAAATATATCGCAAAAATAAAAATAAAAAGTACTCAAAGCATCCAGAAAACGAGTATTTGTTTATATCAGATGAGGCAGTTAAAGAGGCATCAAATTGCTCAACACCCACCCACGAATCTCCCTCTCTTTCCGAAACAAAATACCGAAAATAAAAAAATTGCACAGGAATGAAGGTACACATAACTTAATTTTCGATATATTTCCCCATAACAGACATACAGCTACATCTAATTCAGAAGTCAAACAAACAAAAATCAGCATTATATTTACAAAATTTCACAGTGAAAATTTTGTAAATATAACGCTGATTTTTGTTGTTTGGACTTCTGAATTAGTATTTATTCGGCGTGTTATTGTGTCTTAGCTACATCTAGTGGCAACAAAAAATACTAATTAAATGTTCTATCTAAAAAGTCATATGTGGTATGCCCGGCCATACAGTGAATTAAATGGCGATTCAAATATGACACACCCGGTCATGAGATAATGTTTGCTGCTGATGCATATATGACACGCCCGTAACGAATGGGTTAAGTAGGTTATTGTTAACACTGTAGTATTCAATTTGTCATGGGGAAGGAAAAGCTTTCCAACAGAAATTTGTATATAAGGATGTTTTCGATGTTTGAGTAAAAGAGTTTTGGTCCTCTCTTGATGCAAAAGAGTTAACTAATCTTAACTAAAAAAATATAGCTCAAGCTATCAAAATTTTAACAGAGTTGGCCCCTTAATGCTGAATAACGGTGAAGCTATCAAAGGCCTAATGTATGGCCGAGCATGATAATAGTTTAAGAGAGAATAGCCTAAAAAGGAGAATGCGCATTAGTCAGAATCACGGGTTCTCTCTCACGAAGTCAGTAGAACTTCACGGTTAAATACTTCTCCTGATTTGCATTCAAACGTGATTCTAAAACTACATTCTGGCCGGAACTTGTAAGTTGAAATTCAGGAAGACAAGAAAGGAACTTTAACTCAAAATTTAGCTGTTAGATAAATTAACATAATCCTTACATCTCTTTAGCTGAATTTTAAATTTTACCAAATGTTACCTGATGCATATACAGCTGATTATATTATAATGGTTTGCATACATACCGGGAATAAAAAGAATTAGAAAACGACCATGGTCATTGTCAGGCAAAGGCTCATCCAACCATCTCCCACAAGTAACAATGTGTGTGGGAACACTATGCACGGTTACAAAATCTTGATGAAGAAATTGTAGATCATTAGCTGGAATATATGGGATTTCTGCCATTTGTCTAGAATGAAAAATAAAAATATTTACCACCATTAATCCAAGATATAAAAATCCATAAACTGACATTAAAATTTTTAAATGCCACTGAAACAAACCAACTTAATTATTTAATCTATTTATTATGCTGTAATAAATATTTAAAATATCTGTAATATTGTATGTGATTATCAAAATAATTGACCAGAGTCCAGGTTAGAATAATTCTGCAGCCATTAATAATGTAGTCATCAAAAGAAAAAGCTTAAAAGTTTTAAAATGTTTAATTTTTTAATGAAGGACTCCTGCTGCATTAATTAATTGCAGCAGACCCACTGACTTTTAGCTGGCCCAGCTACCCTCCTAAGTCACTGGCTTTGTCATGTGATTTTCACCTTTACAAATACATTTAAAATATGCATTATTTTCAGATAAAATTGTTCACAAATCATATGATCTCAAAACTCACAGCACTACTACTTCAGAAATAACAAAAGATATGCTAAAGCAAGTGTATCAAGAATGTGATCATCTTTTCATTGTTCAAGTGACTAAATGCGGTGGTTACATGAAGTATTTACAAATAAAACTGAGACAAAAATGAAAACAGAAGAAAACACGTCAAAGTGAACATAAAATTAGTTATGCAACAAGCTTGAGTTTACCATATATTTAATCAAGATCTCAGTCAATTTTGAGGGCAAACATGTACAGGTCCCTCTTTGTTAGGAACAAAGAAATCTGCACAACTGGAAAGCAGTGGGTGCAATGGCAATTGGCCATCTATTAGCTAAATCTGATGAAGGATGGTGTAAACTTCTCATTTGCTTTATTGTGAAGTATACATATGACTGCTGCACCCACTGCTTTCCAGTCTTGCAGATTTCTTTGCTCCTGGCAGAGAGGGGCCTGTACCTGTTTGCCATCAAGGGACAGAATTACTTACACTGAAGGACACAAAGCCCTGGGAATAGCTGGGAGAAAAGTTCAAACAACTGGCCAACAAAATCCAATTACCAACTTTTATCAACAGGTTTGATTGATTTTTGTAGCTTTTGATACACACAGAATAAATTTACAGTTCATCCAAGTTACTAGTATGCAGTTTTTGAAATAATGTATTGATTTTTTAAGTTTGTGATACACACAGAATAAATTTGCAGTTCATCCAAGTTACTAGTATGCATTTTTTAAAATAATGTATGTAGTATTCTGCAAGTTTTAAATGTGTTATTTGCTACTTTATGCATCATCCAACCAGGCCATGGCCCATTTAAGGTTGGATAATAGGAACTTTACGGTGGTTATAATCAATATATGCCACTGACAGTGCAAAAACTATTTTCTATCATCAAAGTCAACCCTGATTATTTAAAATCTGCTGTAATGCTTTTACTGCATGTATAAAATGAGTGAAAATTTCAATATGCATTACTACATTCATACCAAAAAATGAAATGTTCATTATTTGTAATGTATTTATATTATTTCATTTTTAAATATCAGAATATATACATTAACCCTCTAAAAGGCAAGGCCACATATATATGGCCTAGAATATTTTTTGTGATATCTGTAAGAACATATATTATGTGCATATTAAAATATGTCCAAAAAATTAAGGCAATATATCAAAAGAAAACAAATCCAGGTATGAAATAACAGGAGAGTTTTTACATTAAAATCAAAAAACTAATTTGTTCTCATAGTAGTTTTGCGAAATGTGTACATTCTTAGCAAAAACCCTGGCTGCTCAGAGGATTAATAATAGTCAAGGTGATTTATGATGACTGACCTTATTTCAAATTACTTTTTTTCTCTGAAAATTATGAATACAGAGGAATAAGTCATATAATAAAACAAAAAGAAAACTATTTCAGTTTTACATAAAATTCATAATGCAACAACCTTGAGTTTGGCATAGATTTAGTCAAGATCACTATCCTTCCTTATATTCCTGATCTTAAGAAAACTATTCATTCAAGTCCTCCACTGTTGCTTCAACACATCCAGGCACTTTTAGCACAGATAACATGCTTTTCTGGTTAGCTTTCTTAAGATTAACACTTTCTAAAGATTTCTGGGGATTTTTAACCTTAACAAAACTTTCAAAGATTGTGAAATTGTTGATATAGATTTGCACTTTACCACGAATAAGCTATGTAGAAGGCAATGTCCTTCAAATTCACACTTTGCAAACTCTCGATCATATCCTTTCCTTGATTAACACAGTCAATAAAAGTTGACAGAAGATTCTTATGATAATTGCTTTTCAAAGTCTTCCAAAACCCCTTAGTCCTGACAGATTATTGTGACATCTGGAGATAAAAACCTGGCCTCTATTTCTCCATCTTGAAGTTCTTCATTCAGGTGACCAGAGCATAATCCAAAGACAGTTGAGGGGTAATACCCACTACCCCTCAACAGGATTGCCACAATCATATTTCCTTTTGCCGAACTTCAAACAACAACTACCATTTTATCTTTTCAATTCAACAACTACCATTTTATCTTTCCCTCCCATCTTCTCAGACACAGAGGCGAACCAACGAGCTCCAGCGAAAGATTTTCAACGTCAAACAGGGTTGCATAGAACACGCAATCGTGCCAAAAACCAGTGCAGAAACACATATCGCCACATTTGGTGAAATTAGGGCGTATATTAGAGTGTACATATATATATATATATATATATTAAAAGTAATAGATGACAGAAATTCTTGCCCCATGCATGTTTTTTACCAGCAATGCACAACAAAAATTTATCTACAATATCCCTGCAGAAGCAGATTTAACATTACTATTTAATAAAAGTAACATTAGTAGATTATCAGAAAATGGTAAGTGCTAATGTTACTTTAAAAAATTCAGTTTCAGTTATTTCAGAACAGCTATCACCATTTCTCATCGATCATTAGAGGTTAAATCATCAACAAAATCTGGATTAAAGTGACTTATCCTTCTTCTTGTGTTCCAGATTAAAGATTAATGATATAATGCCAATAGGAATGGTAGATATTTATTGCCTAATTATCAACATTTTTTGCATCTGTAGTGAAACTATTTTGGCATTCTGTAGTTGAACATTTAAATTTTCAAGTTGCCTTCAAATTATGCAACTGCAAACTCCTTGCCGATTTCAGAAAGCAGAGAACTCACTGCTGATTTTAGACCGAAATGGGTAAAAGTATATTTACAAGTACCCCCCTGGTGAAAATTGGTGGTACATGGATACTGAGTTCGTGCAAGTCTTTGACTTATTTTGGCTTAGAGCCCAAAATCGCCACTACACAATGACAAAATAATAAGACAAACAATTGCACAAACTCGGTATCCATACATACATCGACCTATTTTCACTTAAAAAAAAATCACAGAATTGTGCAAACTTGGCATTGCACACTCCCTTGACTTTATCCATGTACACATTGACCTATTTTCACTTAAAACAACAACAGAGAATTGCTTCACTTAAAAAGTCATGGAGCACAACCCAAATAAATATATAATCTCAATAAACTAAATTTTAAGTCAAATAATGAAATTAATTAAAAAAGAAAATTAATCTTTGCACTACACGAAGGAAATATCTACTATCTTATTTACGAATTTGCACGTCTTCTGTTAACAAAATTCCTTAACAGCATCCAAAAACCTCCTAAAATTATCTGAACTAGAATCTGTATACTGACATCGCCACATAAATTCACAAAATAAGAGTAAAAAATATCCTCCGTAGCGCTGTTATCGTCCGACCATATGCATTTCCTTCCTACAAACTGGACACTTAATGGCTACTCAGTAAACCTCCATTTACACAACAGTAAAGTAATGCTCCTTTCTCCTTTCAGTTAGAATATAATGAAGGGTGCCCTCTGTATTATCAAGGGAGTGCGCAATGCCTGGTTTGTGCAATTCTCTGATGTTTTTTTAAGTGAAAACATGATTGATGTGTACATGGATAATGTCAAGGGAGTGCGCAATGCCAAGTTTGCAATTCCCTGTTTTTTTTTTTTTTTTTTTTTTTTTTTTAAGTGAAAATAGGTTGATGTTGTACATGGATACCAAGTTTGTGCATTCTTTGTCTTGTATTTGTCGTGTGTATCGCTGACTTTGGTGTTATTTTGGCTTGAAGCCAGAATAGAAAGTCGACTTGCACGAAATGGTATCCATGTGCCCCAAAAATCCCCAATTTTTGCCAAGAGACACCCGATACATATACTTTTACCCCTTTTCTTTCCAATCATACAGAAACTTCAAATTAATCTTACCACATTCAGTCATTTTACCGTCTAAACTAGAAAACAAGCAGGAACTACTCTGATATGCGCCCTCAAGTCGCCAAATTCGCGCCAAATATTTTGCCGAGAAACTTCACGCTGCCATATTACTATCTAAATTTTTTGTCTACATTTCGAACTTTTAACCTAAAATGTCTCCAAAAACACGGTTTTCGCAAATGCAAAAACTACGTTTTCAACATGCAATTTAGCTAAAAATCCGAAATAAAAACAAAAAATTTAGATAGCAAAAACGTAAAGTTGTAACCAAAAAATTTGACAAGAATCCATGTACACAGCGACATGTTTTAACTTAAAAAAATCTACGAAGGGCACAATCTAGGCAATGAACGAATCTACAAACTACACACACCTCGCTTTAATAAATTAACATAACAATAATAAATTTCAAAGAATACCATGTACACAACATCCTGTTAAAATTTTAAAAAAATTCTACAAATTGCACAATTTAGGCAAGGAAGGAATCTACGATCTACGAACTCCTCGCTTTAATAAAATACATAACAACAATAAATTTCAAATAATACCATGTACACAGCGTTCTGTTTAACTTTAAATAACTCTACGAATTGCACAGTCTAGACATTAAACAACAAAATAAACTAAAATAAATTTCAAACAATTTAAAAAAACAACAATAATGACAGAAATTCCATACTAAAGAACCAATGAACATAAACATTCTACAAAATAAGAACAAGGATAAAATTAAAATGCACTTACCATGAATTAATGCGTTTTCGAAATAGCAGAAATATAAATTCATACCGCTTTAACTGCCGCCAACGTAATCACTATCGGATTTACATGACGCCAGACACACTATCCAGAAAATTTTACTATGGTTCACAAATAAATAAAATCACAAATCCCTACTTCTATCATGCACTGTCATTAAAAATAATCTCCAGACCCTCTTTCCACACTTCCAAATGCCCACTACCCTTCACAGGATAGCCACAATGATATTCCTTTTGCCGAACTTCAATTCAACAACTACCATTTTATCTTTCCCTCTCGTCTTCTCAGACACTGATGCGAATCAACGAGCTCCAGCGAAAGATTTTTCAACGTCAACGGGTTGCCAGGAACATGCAATCGTGCCAAAAACCAGCGGAACACATATCGCCACATTTGGTGAAATTAGGGCGTATATTAGAGTTGTACCACAAGCAATGTACTTCCTAACCAACACACACTACAAGCACTTACAAACTCGCCGCAATCATGCAACTTATTACGTCATAATAGGGTTACCATAACACTCAAGTACTCAGGCTACCATGAATAAACCACCACAACTTCACAATAACACAAGGAGTACCTTTGTCTCTACTCTAACCGCGAAATGCTTATTTGGGTATGTTTATGGTAATTTCAAAGATGCATATAGTGCTGCCTATTTTCGTAGCGTTTTTCTTTTTCAATATAAGATATGTACATTTTCCAATTTTGTGCATTACTGTTTCTTTTCCTCATATTATGTAGCAATCTGTTTTTACTTAAAAAAAAAAAAAAAAAAAAAAAAAAAAAAAAAAAAAAAAAAAAAAGAAGAAAGAAGAATTGCACAAAACTTGGTATTGCACATACCCTAGGATTAAAATTTAAAATCCTAAAATTAGAAGGAAAAATAGAATGCATGATGACCTTAAGTAAGCCATATTACACTGTATATGAGCAGAAAGTCTAAGATTTTGCTAACTGCAGTATGTGGTCATCATTATGTCAAAAGACTGAAATTTTGGTACTTCTCCGTTTCGCCGGCAGAAATCTCGCCAAGCAGAGTTTATTGGCAATAACATAAAGTAGGCACATAAAAAATGCTAGTTCTTTAAGAATTTTTTATTTTGAAGGCACAAACATTTTAATACCGTTTAAAATTTTGTATAAAGCCAATAAATTTGTAAAAAGACATTAACTTGAGAATTTACTATGCTTTTATGGTTCAACATCCTTATTTGCCGGTTCATATCACATGACCCCAAGTGATCTCATCTCGCATAAATTACACTACAAAAATCTAATTCTCTCGGTAATTATCTGCACTAATTTCATGTTAAATCTTAATTTGAAATACAAGTTTAAATGAAAGAATTATTTCAATTCATACGAATAGCTTACTCAGAAATTATGTAAAACCACAGTGCTTTACTTCGCTAGTGCATTCTCATTAGAATTGATGAATTTAACCTTTTCTATATTTTCACCTTCGAGTGAGCCCTAATTTACTTAATTACCGTGAATGGCCTTAAGGCATAAAATTGAACTATCTGGTAAAAATTCCATGTAATTTTTTGCCAGTATTGAAAGAAACAATCAATCTGATAAGAAATAGCTATGACTTGTTTTGAAAATGAGGCATAAAAGGTTATCAGCAAGGATATTTCGTTTGGCATCAGTTGTACCATTATTGGCAACTTTATCGCCTGTGCTGGCAAAATGGAAAATTACCAAAATTTCTATACGAGAGATCATAATTTACAGTCACACTGGTGAAAATATCCAGAGAAGTGGAATGCCAACTGAGGGAATGCTACATGCTTATTGCCAAATAAATATTTTTTGGCCATATCATGGGTTGCCACATAAATATTTTTTCAAGGCTTTTCAGTGGGGTGAGGATAATCAGAGAGTACAATTTTTTGTATAAAATGATCAATGTTATATATAATAATAACGAAAAAATTCTAGAAGACAGCTATATTAAAAAACATATCAAAAGTAAAATAGAAAAAGCTGTACGTTATGCCATGGATCATTAAATTTTTTATAATATATTCATACCATCAAAAGAATAATGTATTGTTACATAAATGCATGTGCAAAGGAAATATACACATCAGCATGTAATAACAAAAAATATTATAGCTAGATAAATTGTTTCATAAATAACTGAAAACTAATATAAAATGCAAGCAAATGATGAAAAAAATATTTGCTATTGTAGTCAAAATTATGCTAAATTTTAAACGTCAATTAAAAAAAATCCACAGTGCAAATGAAAATTTACTGAAAGAATTCTACTCAAAATGCATAAATTTAATATGTCAAAAAGTAACGATACAGATGTTTTACTGGGTATTTACACCTGAACTTTTGAATTTGGTGAAATCTTAATGCTAAAATATAATTACAATGGAATTAATGTTTCAGTGACACTAAGAGACATTTTTAAATCTTCACATTACTGAACAAAAATACACCAGTGAAAAATGTAAAATCTCACCCTCCACAAAAATAAACACTAAGGTACATGCTTATTTTAACAAATATTTAGTTATTTATTCATTTATCATTTAAAATAATATTTATTTAGATCTTCCAAAATACTTCTTTTGAAGAATGGTCTTTTATATAAAAATGTGTTACTCCAATCTTACCTTTTTTCTCAAATTTTATGCGTCATATTTTAGTTACACAATAATTTAACAATGAATAATTTCAGTAACTTGCACGATACTCATGAAATTTCGAAAAATTCTTAGAAAGAATAATGATTATTTACTAAATTTAAATTTAATATACATCCAACCGCCAAATTCTCCCTCATCGTAATTAAAATTTTATTTATTTTATCATAAATGTTAATTTATTGAGATGATCGCATTTTTCAAATTAAACTCTTAAATTTTATGGGCTATCGCTTATATAACTTCTTAGACCTGAAAAATTAAAACTACATATTTGGCATAAACTAAAGATTTATATACAATAAGTGAAGAATACGAAAATAAATGAGCTTACCACGGAAAACTTACACACAGCAAAAGAAAGTTACGTGAGTACCGGCAACACGCTTTCACGTAAAACACAATGAGATTGCAACATCAAATTGACAGTATAGCTGTCTTTTTCTCCAGACCTCCGTGCTCCCAGACAGACAAAGTAAGGAAGATGTCTTTCTTGTACTTGCTAAGTCTTTGCGCCCGCAGGGCGAAATATTAAGGGGCGAATTCAATTGCAATGCTTGTCATGGTAATCGCACTTACATTCAAAACCGAATTCAAGTGCAACGCTTTTCGGACACGCCTACTGGAAATACGTCACTACCATAGAGGAATTTTGCGGCTACTCCTGACCTGCCGCAAAATCTTAACAGCGACTGTAAACAAGATGGCTGAAGTGATTTTGCTCAGACGTTTAAGAAATCGGAGAAGGAAATGCTATCGAATCGCTCGGCATTTTAGAGACAGTCGTAATGCTTTTGAAATGGTGGAGCGTGAATTCATCAGTTGATTCAGTAAATCGTTTGCTTCAATGAATTGAAAACCTTTTCTGAAGGCAACTGCCAAGGTATTCTCTGCAAAGCAGGTTTGTTTTTACTTCAGGTTATGAAAAACTGAAATACTTCTGGAATGTTTCCGAATCAAAGACTATGCTTAAATGACCTATTTGAGATATTATATATTTTATACGTACACACACAAATTTTTAATGTTATTGTATCAGGATTCTTTCTTTTCATCCCGTTTTTTTCGTAGTAAAGATCGAAATCGTTAATTACTGCGAATTTTGGAATGCAGTAAAAATAATATCACCATTAATTTATTGTTTTAATTACTCTAAAACGTAATCTCGGAAAAATCGTTTTCTAATAGAAATGCATATGCCTGCCTTTGAGAATATATATATATATATGTATATATTTGGGATGATTAGTTTTTGGAATATTATATATTTTTCATGGTTTTAGATGCGTGCATTAATTTACATATGCTCTCAGAATTTCAGTGATATAGTAAATTAAATTGCAGCAATAATTAATCTTTGATATGTACAGTCGGTCACAAAGTATTCGAACACCGGTACCCATTCAGAAAAATTTACTTTTCCGTTGAGAAACAAAATTGTCTCCAGAATCCATCTTGGTTCGATAGAAAAAAAACAAAAGGATAACTCATGTCCAAAATTGGCTAGGTGCATGAAACAAAATACAACATGACCTATCTGGGTGAGATGGGAAACAAAATGGCTGCTCACGTGATCCATTATTGCGCTCAGAGAAAACTCAAAGTGTGGCTGCGGCTCGTCTCGGTTCGCGAAGAGTGAAAACCCAAAACGGTCTGCAGTGTCTATCTTTGTTGGATGAGAAAACAAAAGGATGGCTCATGTCCAATTTATTTAGGTGTGGGAAAAAAAAAATATAACGTGACCTATCTGGGATGAGATGTCTCCAGCGATCCAGTATGGACTTAAAGGATAGGTGTTTTGTCCCCATCTGCAATAGGTGACATTCTATAAACAATTCCATTGAAATCTCCTCGAAATATGGAAAGAGGAAACATCTAATTCGTGTAAGGTTCGGAAATTGTAAGGTATTCCCGAAACAATTCCTCTTCTTGAGAAGGCAACAACATCCTAGGTGCAGATGAGGTAGAGAGAGAAAAAGCATGTTGCACCTTGGAGAGCCTAACACGGTTCTGAACAGAAAACGTCGGAATGCCTTTATAGAAAAGAGTTGAAAGTGAAAGTAAAAGCCGATTGGAAATTTTTCAATTGGTTGCCGACTGGGAAAAAATTTTCAGAGCTCAGAAAAAAATTCTGAGATGTAAAAAAAAAAAAAAAAAAAAAAAAAAAAAAAAAAAAACTTTTTGTTAATTTTTATCATGTCTTCTAGACATGATAAAAATTAACCCTACCCCCCATTTTGTGTGGGAATGTTGTCTCACTGTTTCTAAAAATAGACCATGACTCATTCTAGGAATTATATGTTTAGAAAGGATGAATCATGGTCTTTGGGTTTCTC